AGGCTGGGCTGGTCACCAAAGGTGACTGCGTTTCTGTACTTTGGCCAAAACTGGTGTTGTCTCCTGAAACGGTGTCCTGGACATGTCCAATACGGCCAACAACAGTCCTGTCCGACTTAAGTTCCGCGAGCGTTGCTAATAGCTCTGACACTTGGCCGACCAAGCAAGAGATGTCTTTCATACCACGCAAACGTCCCTCCGCCTGCGGGATGCGAAGTAGGAGCACATCCGTTGTCAAGCCGCTCAATCGCTCTCACGTTCGTGCACGGGAGCTCTCCCGCATGTACCACACCCCTAACGTTACATCGCTGAAGAGGGCGTCAACAGCGGTGAGAACAGAAAGCTCGCAAACATTAACAACCATGCACCTCATCACACGGTTTGCCAGACCCCGCGGCTGCCGCGAACGAGGTACGCCATCGGACAGTAGTCGCGATCCGGCCAACATGCTCTTCGGAGTTCAGTCTCCCGTCTCAGCGTCTGTGTGAAACCTCACCTCGATTTATTACCAAGGCAAGATATGAATCAACCCTAGGTGCTAATTCTGCTTGATGCAGTGCTGGTACCAAGAAGAAAATGGTTTGCGCTAGCAGCGGAGGACAGATGAAACGGGTGCGCAGGGTTTTCTCAACAGCCCTCAATCACCTCACATGTTGATTATCGGCATGGGTTGAAAATTTGCGAAATCGTGCCAAGGACTATATAGCATAAGAATGCCGAGCAGAACAGATTCTGCTGTATGCCAGATTGCCTGCGAACAGGTGGAAACTACACAAAAGATGGGACGGGAAAAATCCCGAGTATCAGGGGCTCGGGCAGTCCTTGGGGCTTCGGTTAAGCAGTGTGTTTCACTTGACTGGTACTTGGCAGCTTGTTGTGAGAGATACTCATAGGCTGTAAAAAGTGTTCATCGTCTGGAGAGCTGTCCCGGAGTTGCCTTCATGGCCTCTCGTCCTTGCCTAATCGGAATTAGAAATGATGAGAAAACAAATGTCCGAAGCCATTGAGACTTCAATTGACATCAAATGAGACGGTGCTCCTTGCGGGGTTGTGCTTCTGGTCCCACGACTTGTGAGAAAAGATTGTCTCCCTGTAAGATAACCATCACACTTGCTGTCGGTGGTTGCCATAATGCAACCTCGTGAGGCATCATTCTGCGATAGCCCTTGCTGTCGAGGTTGACGGTCGAGCTATCGTCGTTGCTGGTAAAAAGTCCATGGTGGTGGCCGTTAACTCTCTGAAATAGCTTGATGTAGGGGATGAAACCTGGGATTTGAGACATCGTGATGGGCCAGCACGGTCTCAGATTCACCTCCTGAATGAGGTGCAGGAACTCTCACGCATACGAAGACCAGGATAAGGGGATGAACCGGAGACGTAGCCGGACCTTGTCGGCCAACCAGGCCTCCTGGCCAATCCCAGTTTTGGGAGCTCTACGCCGTTGCCATTCGGAATCCATGGATCCCCCTGGTCATGACGCGGGGGATGAGATCTTGTTCTTCGCCCATCACTGATTGCTGCAACGTTTCGAAACGTCATTCCAGGCGCCTCGCGTCTTGTCCGATCTGGTCGGCGACGTTTCTGTCCTCGCAAACGCCGGCCAACGAAACTCTTGTTGAAATTGATTTGTTGGTCGGCTTCGTCGGATACCCCAACATGACATGATCCTCCACATGCTTCAATGGCACAGCAGGATTGGCGACCCTGCCCGGACCCATGAAGACACCTGTTGGTTGGATCTAAATCGGCGCGATGATTCTAAGCAGTCGTGCGCATTGACCTCGAGGTCTAATTGCAGGTCTGTGAGGAGACAGGGCTTTTGTGAGCGGACACTGTTTGCGACTTCGTTATCTGTTTCGACGACTTTGGTTCGCTGGCACCCTGGACCGATGTTAGTAAAATGACGAGCGTCAACCGGACCCCGAACACACGGGCAGATATGCAATGACTCCTGATCACTCCTGCCGACCTCAAAAGCTGCTGTCCGTTGTAAGGAACACCTTGTGAGAATTGATCGTAGATGGTTGGGATATTTCGGCGTGCATGCCGAACTTAGTCGAAACGGAACCACCCCACTCCATCTAGGTACTCCCCGAGCTCGAGCAAGCTGGCCATCCGGCGGGTCTGTCGACCTGGGATGGTCGGCGGTTTTACTCAGTGAGATACAGGGCAACGAGTCCAGATGCAAAAGTTGGGCAAATTGCTGGGAGCTGTGACAGCTCGTAGATATAGGTGTTCCGATGATTAAAAGGGGTAATGCTTGGTGTTTTAACGTTGGTATTGACTTTCACAGTGACAGAAGTCTAATTCGCCAACCTCGGTCAGGGTCCAAAGACTCGCGTCCATACAGGATCGCTAGCAATGTTGCGCCTCACCCTCATGTTGGTGGATCCGATCGAAGGTCAAGGAGATTGCGAGCTGACTGTGAGATGGTCGCCATCATCGTCAGGGTTGCATTCCCGGTGCCCTACAGTAGTGCGAACGGTTAGCCTCGAGTCAAGAGAGAATCTCCCGCCCGAGCAAATAAGACCGGCTCCGAGACCGGGCGGCGACCAGTGGAGTTCTACAGAAACTTGCGAGTCGTGGCACCAGTCGCGAGGTTATGAATCTCCATCTTTGCAGTAACAATCGCATTCTTGGGCTCAAGACCACCATCGCATCGAGACGTCCTGAAGATCGGACAAGTGTTCCAGGATCATACACAGGCCTCTCCTCGCTTCATTTGTCACCTCTGCCACAGGTGTTCATGCGAATCTTCCTAGGCCTTGGGACTGTAGAGAGTCGCCAGGCGTTTGGAAGTTAGAGTGGGAGGTGAGGTCGTCCTGGCTTCCAGGACATACCTGGTCTGCTGAGAAGGTCATTCATGCATTGACAAACAGCAAAGGCCGACTAGTTGCGCTTCCAGTCTGCTGGCGTATTTTCGAGCTCAATTCCAATGGCCGTGACCCATGGCCTCTAACGCAATCTGGTCGGCCGATCTAGCACGGTGCAGCTCATTGAATCGAGGTGGTCAGGCGGTCTGCTCTGTATGAGGCTTGTGGAGATGGTTGTTTTAGCAAGGCGGGCGGTTACCGGCGAGCGTCAGCCGAAACGTGAACCGGACGAGAACTAGCGGCCAGCACAGATCCAGTGAGCTAGCGTATACCAAAGAAGAAGAAGCATACATGCCCAATTGAACAGGATAGCACGGCAAGCATAATGTCTTGGATGACACCAGAGACGAGCCGAGAGTTGGACCGTTGATCCTGGGAGTAGAGGAGGCGCAGAGCGACATGCCGGCTTGGGGTCAGAGCGGAACAAGGCTGCTCGACGTTGACAGACGAACAACGCGAGTTTCGTGCGTCGAGTTGCTGGCGGACGGGTTGGGAAAGCAACGCGGGGCAGAGATCGCCATGGAGCGACCAGGAGGGTGGGTGCAGGGGCCTCGTTTGGCACGCTGATCGCCGGCAGTGGTAGAGGGGGGCGGCCTGGTTGAGTCTTGCAGTGAAAGTGAAGTGTGAGTGAACGAAGGGGGATTGTGTGTGTGTGTGTGTGTGCGCGCGTGTGTGACTGGTGAATGGTTGTTGCAGTGCGTCCCTGATCATTAGGTCCATTGCGAGGCTCGGGCGCGGTAGGTGCCGTGACGGCGGGGATCCTCGAAAACGGATCCATCTATCTCGAGACGTGCGCTGCTCAAGCTGCCGTCGACAGGACCGGAGCATCACGACAGAGGTTGCCGCATCTGTTGACCAAGCGCGACTGGGGTGATGGCAGCTTGGCACACATGTTGGGTTGCTGCAGAGGTGATGATGATAGACCGGGAGTTGTGCCATGACACGGCCGTGACAGGCGGGAGGAAGTGGCTGCGTCAGACAAGCCCGGTGCTCCTGCTGCTCCTGTTGCTGCTTGATCGTTCACACGCAAACATGGGTTCAGTCAGAACCGTTCGGACTGATTGTCTGGATAAGGAAAGGACAAGCCTCTTCTGCGTGAGCCAGTAGCCGCATGAACCCTTTCTCATTTACCAAGCACAAGCGCAAGTGCACATGGGTGAGAGGGGGGGGGCTAGATGGGCTAGATGGGCTAGATGGGGTCCGCGAGGTTACTTCACGATGCCTGCCTAGGTAGCGGGAGCAGTACCCCTAGCTGGGCACCCGAGCACCAAGATCCCGATACCCTGTCTAGACCACCTGCCAGACCCCTGTCTTGTCCCTGGTACCCCGGTCTCGCCAGAGCAGGTGGGGAATGCGCTTGGTCCTTCCAGGGCTTAAGCGGTTTCATATCCGGGCTTCCATGCGGCAGCAGCACCCAGAACCCCCCAGTAGCTAAGTCCCCTGCACTTGCCTTGCCCCTCCCCATCACCGCTCACCAGCAACGTGCCTGCCTGGCAAGCCTGGCACATCACCTCCATCACCATCGAGACCTGTCTGAGCTCTGGGGTGAGGTCGACTCGAGTCAATCTCGGTGCAGACACCTCGTCTCAGAAATCCAACCCGCTTTTGTTTCCGCGCCTTCTGTTTCTTCTCGCTAGGTCCCCGGCTCCTGCCTCCTGCCCGTCCTCATTCTCTACGCCCCTGTCCCATGTCACTTGCCTCCCTACCCTGCCCCCCTGATCCGCCAAGCCGAGTCCCTCTTGCTGGAGCCCCGTCTTTTTCGTCTTCCCTGTCAAGAGAACGACTCACATATTAGCCTCTGCATGTCGCCCATCATCACCTATCCGCCACCTTGGCTCTCCGATGCTCAATGTCGTACTCTGCGCTCCGGTGCACTTAATAACCTTTTCCTTCTTTTGCTCTCCACCTCTTCCGCCGTATCCTGGCCCTGTTTGCATGAGACATATATAGCCTCAGCCGTCCGTTTCTCCTAATAGTGCGGCAACATATTCGTCCTTCACGCCAGTCCCGTCAGTCTAGCTGGTAACTGGGTCCATCATCCTGGATCAAGCTGCCTGCCGACCATCTACCTCTTACACGGGCACACACGACGAACACCCCTGGCCTCCTCTCCCTCAGTACCTCGCCATGGCACACATTGCTACCTGTATGGTCGAGGCCGACCTCGACAGGGCTGCCGGACCTGGAAACGGACACCTGATCACCGGCCTTATAACTAAACCTCCTTCTCCCACACCCTCTAGTGACTCGGTATGTCGCCCCGTCGATGCCCTTCACGCCCATTGATGCGACCGGATTACTTACACAATCTTCACGCATACAGTCCTCTACCTCATCTCAGGCTTCCGAGCAGAAGCCCCACGTCTGGAGAATGCAGCAGACCCAGCAGCAGCAGCAGCAGCAGCCCGATGTCCGGAAGTACCAGCTCTTCCCCAAGGGCAGGCCGCAGCCGGCCCCGGTGGCTAAGGCCCTCGACCCCGAACAGGCCAGAGCCTACGCACTTGGGCAAGCCGCACTATCAGAGAAAGACAAGGAGAAGACGAGCGGCGGCGGTCTTCGTGTCCGCATCAAGGAGCACAACCTCATCCGCAGGCGCAAAGTGAGCGTTCCCGAACTGGGCCCCATGACCACCGTGCAAGAAGTTGCCATGGACTCTCGTAAGCACCGCACCATATTTCTGCTTTTGAGCAACCGACTAAACTTTCTAGCTACCATTCCCGGCAGGCCGCCGCTGCATGAGAGGTCCATCAGTGCACCAGGCAACAGTTGGAGGCGGCTCCACGTGGCTGAAGCCGTCGCTTGTGTTCAAGACTCTCTTGATGAAAATGCTGAACTAGAATTTTCGCCTACTACCGAACCATTGTCCTACCAACGATCAGCATCAGAGGCCCCGAGACAGCCCATGTCGCCGAAAAACCTCGCGCCTCTCGTTATCCCCCCTCCTCACACTGGCATGTTTTCTGGGCTGACGCGCCAATTGTCACTGAGCCGCCTCCGCTCGGGAAATACGCCGTCCGACTCGGTGCAGCGTTCGGCTCGCACTGACGACTCGCCTCTGTCCCGAACGCCCTACACCCCCTTGACAGCATCCACCTCGCTGACAACACCAATGTCCTCCACAACGACGCATTCTGCCGTTGCGCTGCCCACTCCCGTGTCAGCGCCCCTCCACGATGTGCGAGCGTCGCCCAAACCGTCGGAAGTTGGAGCTTTTACTGGATCGAGCAGCTCCAACAACACCCCCAGGAAAGAAATCGAATCCCGGGCTGTGCCTATGGGACATCGCAGAGGGCAATCAGAAACGGGCAGCATTATGGAACGGGGTCGCCCTCGAAAGCGAACCGATCGTAAGGATGGTTCAGTATCCGCTCAGCGGGCTGAATCGGCACGCACTCGTAGCACCGACCAAAAGGCGTTCGAAGAGCTGCCCTCTGGGTGCAGAGCCAGTGAGGCCGCGAATCAGATAAACCAGATTGAGCTTCTGGCTCTTCAGAAGCAGGCCTTTGGCCAAGCTTCTCGATTCGAGGTTCTCAGAAAAGAAGATGTCGAGTCATTGTCAAGGGTATGACCGCCAAGCCACCCGCCCCTGAAGGATGATCCTTGCTAACATGGTTTCAGGAGCTCCGACAACTTGATGAGAGGACTGAATACCTGCGCCGCACTTACCATTCGCTGAGGGCCGGTCGCCGCAATCTCCATTCACGGATCTGTCAGTACCTGCGCTCCCCTCGCGTAGCCCGATTCAGCACCGATTCCATGCTTAAGCAGGAAGAGGCTCTCGGCGAGCTTGATGCTTCCATTGACGACTGGGTCAACAAGCTGGAACACGCCGAAAACCGCCGTGCTCGCGTGCGCCAGAAGCTCCTGGAACATGTGGCTGCCGCTGCCATCCTTCCCAACATGGTTGCAACCCCGGCGAGTGACACTCTTCAGCAAGCCATGGGTGCCCGCTGTGTCGCGGCTGGCGTGGGCAACATCTCGACTCCTCCTCGTAGCCCCACTAAGAATGCTGTTCCACGCGCTAGCAGCAACTCTCCATCGCCCCAGCGCGTGATTGCACACGTCCCGAGTACTATTCTCGAGGATCCTGCCAAAGAAGATATACTCGGCAGCAAGGCCAGCATCAAGGAAGATGCCGAGGCAGCGCAGCGTCGCGTAGACGTGGAAAGCATTCGTGTATACGCCGACAGCGACGTCTACGCTCTACTTGCTGACGTGGAGAGCGAGATCGCCAAGATGAGCGCTGATTCACGAGAGGAGTCGAGCAGCCCCCTCACGGCTGATGAGCGGAAAGACATACACCGCGCTCGTAGCCACGAAATGCTGAATGGCAGAGCCGAGGATACATCATTCCTTGCTCCACCAACGCCAACCGGGCCCACGGACCCGTTTAACGACACCAAAACAACTTCCGCAGATGGCGAGACATTCTTCCTAACCAGCGCCGTTTTCAAGCCCTGAAACCACCACACAGAATCTCGGAGGGCTTGGAACGAGTCGTTTCCTTTCTTCGCCTTCGCAACATTTTTGTATTTCCTACCACGCTCCCTACGTCGCAACGACTTTTCACGGCCAGTCTGCTCTACGATTCTTTGCTTTGAGCCTCTGCTCCAAATATCAGATACCCATTCGCATCGGCCTCTCAGGTACTTGGCATGTCTTCGTTTTTTTCTTTCCACCTGATATACTGCATATAACGTCTTCGGCTCATTGGTTGGTGTTATGGGCGTTCTATTTTCATGCCAGCATGATGACGATTTTTCTTCTTTCTTAACCATGTATTTCATAATTGACTTAGCATTGCCCATTGGCACTTTGGAGTCTTACTGTATAGCAGGGGAGGGCTGAGACAAGGTGGGGGGACATATGTTGCGTACAGTGTTGGCTCGGTCGAGTACGAAAGGCTACACACTCGACATTTGAAGCCTTTGGGGCATCCTCTCGTGTTTCGGACTACGTAAAGAAAAGTAGGGAAGAAGAAGAAGAAGAAGAAAAAAAAACATGTCACCAGTATTCCAGGTTCTCGTTGATCAGTATCGGATGAAAAAAGATCAGCAGGAGTGCCGTTCGCTGTTTTTGACATCAAACGGGGGGTAGGCCAATGGGCGAACGGCTGACATGGTAGTGTTTCTCAATCAGGTCGATCAGCAAAGAAGTCTCCGGTCGCCTCGTGGGTTTTGAGCGGCACTGAAGCGCTGATCACGTCAATCCCCAGCGATCGGCAGTGCTAGGGCTGTCTGTCGGTGGAGTTGCGAGAGCGTCACAACAATGCGTGACGGCCTTACCCGGCCGACTGCCTAGATAGCTCGAGTCTTTCTGTTTTCCAACGAAACGAGCGACTTGTTGATACCATGATGGGAGGCACCACCAAAGCGTCCAGACCATGGCCAGTTGTTTTCAAGACTCAACATGCGAGGGTCGTGGAGTCGCTGCGAGTTGCTCGCCCAGGGTGATAGGCCGATTTGGGGGTCCGATCCCCAATGTAACATGGCAGAGAATCGAACGAAGACTGCCGCCTCTCGTGCCTGCCATCTCATTGTCAATCTCATTGGGGCCGTCGCCTCTCTCCGGGTGCAACAAAAGTCAATCTGGAAGAGGTTCCAACGGTCAGCGATGGCGAAGCGACGTTGGAAACGGGTCAAGGCCCGTCGTGGCGCGTCTCTAGCCCCGTCTCACAAGAGGGTGGAGTGGGGGGAGGGGTGTCCAGGGAGGGTGAGGACCCCCCAGAGACCTCGTCCCTATCATCCATCCCCCCCCCGGCCCCTTGTGTAAGACCGTCCCGGGTCACTGAAAGAATCACCCCCGCCCCCTGGGCGTGCAGGAGCACCCTATACCTCGCCTCCTCCTCGCTTGGCACCCGACCTTGAACTCTTCCACTGCAGCGGGTTCCCCTGCAGCGGTTCCCCTGCAGCCAGCGTGCCCGACGCACACCTCCCCCCTGGGGCCGGCTGCGCTATCCTTCCTGGTGGTTCAGGCTCGCCCAGACCCGTGGGACGAACGGGCATGGCAGACAGCGCGAACGAGGGGGGAGGGGGGGCGATGGGGCTACTTCGACTGCATCTTGCGCTACCCACCCATGGTCGGTACCACACAGCGCCCGCGTCGGCGTTTGAGCTGGAGAAATGGAAGGTCACATATAGCCCTGTGATGAGAGAGAAACAAACCCCTACGTACTTTGCCTTGGATGACCCGGCCAGCCTCGAACGCCTCCTCCGAAGGGCTTGGTGGTTCCAGACTTTTCTAGCCGGTCCTCCTCGCCAGCAATCTACATGGTTGTGATCAACCTGGAGGAGGGCCTCGCCGGCTGTGTCGAAGCAAGAGGAAAGGGGTATTGCGTTGGTGTTCTGCTTGGTTCTTCGCTCCGTCTCTGTCTCTGTCTCTGTGTGTGTGTCTCTCTCTCTCTCTCTTCTGCCTCCTCACTTCCTTCTTCCCTTTCTTGTATCCCTCTTCGCCCCGCCTACAGCTGACAGGGGACTCTCCCCCCACCCGTCCCCCGAAGAAAGGTTTTGTCAGGACGTGTCTAGAACACACACAAGGCGGCGAGAAGGAGGAGGGGGCGAGGAGGAGGAGGAACAGAAGAACAAGAAGAAGAAGCAGAGGGAAGTGACGACATGAGAACCACAGGCGCGTTGGAGAATGATGGGCAACGAGTAAGAAGGCGTCAGCGTCTCGGAATCCGGTCGCCAAGAGGAATGGTCGGCTCGGAACATTCAGAATTGGGACGAAACCGCAGGAGGATCAAATTCCGGGCCGCATGGTTGTTGGGATGAACGTGGTTTCGAAGGACAAGAGGAGACGGAAGAGAGGGGAGGGCGGGGTGATGGTCTCGAGTAGAGGCTGGTTGCGAGGGACGCCTTTCTTGGCTGCTGTCAGACGCGGAGCCACGTGTGTTTGATCGTGTCTCCCAGGATTCGATACCCCACGCCACACATGCTGGATGCCTTTGAGGAGGCGTTCTGAGAAATCCACCTCCCGGGGGGTTGGCAGGGTCGAGTCACGGACCGAGGCCCTTCAAGCGATGCAGCTCCTCCTCCCTAACTACCTACATACCTCAGCATCCTGTCAGTAGGCATGAAGACTACCAGCTGAAGGACGAGGTGGTGGTGAGCCGTCAGAACTCCTCCCCCCCCCCTTCCCCCTCACCTATGGGAAATGAAGTTGCGGGAGGGGGTCAATCAGGGCGGCTGACTCGGTGTCGAACGCTGTGGGTATGCTCCGCGTGCGCCCTTCATTTTGGGGGGAGGTGGTATTTCTCATGGGGCTGTGGGGACCCCTGATGCATGATTTCCCTTCACATAGCCAGGCTTCTAGCGATGCTATTCGCGAGTTGCCTCTGCCCTTGGCTTGGATCTCTTGCCTTCGCTCAGTTAAGCGGGAGAGGGAGGTAGGATACGCCCCCTCTCCTCTCTCTTCCCACTCACACGGCATCTGCCGTTGGAGGGGGGGGATCAAACAATGGCCTTATTAATCGGCTCCATCAGCACCACGTGTGTGACGTGAGCCAAACCGGCCGCAGGGAATTGGGGCTTTGCATGTTGGCGAGACGATTATTGATCGTCATATAGAGAGGTCCACCACGGACGTTTTCCACTTGCCGCACAACGTCGCCAGACGCGGGGTCAGCCTGCGTGTAGGGATGCAGTGGGCAGGACCTCAGGTCGCAGGAGGGGGACCGAACTCCAAGGCTACCTACCCAAGGCAACGCCACCGCGTCGTCGCGGACCCTGGGCCAACTTTTCGGAGCGGCCGAGGCGAAAGTTGGCCATGACTATATATCACGCAGACCAAAGCGAGATGAACCTGTCTGCCCGGCGGCCTGACCTACCCTGCTGCGAAGCCTCGAGCGTGCCCGACGGGAACGGTCCGGTTCATGCCTCTGCGGCGGAGGCTGGTCAGCTTTGCCGCGACGTCTTCCGTGCACGCGCGGTGATGGACCTTTTGGAGGGGCAGACGCTTGGATTCGAACCCCTCCTTTCTGGCGTGGCGGTGTCGAGTTTCGGCAGTTGGGCAGGCCTTGATGATGAGGATGAGGAGGCGGAGAGGAGGAAGAAGATCATGGAGAGCGCTGGCAGCGGTAGATGCATCTATCTGCATTTGCAAAGTCAAAAATGACGGTTTCAAGACACCGGCTGTTCCACATGCTGCCGATGAAGAGACGCCGACGGACCTTTTTGATGGATGACGCGGAGTGGAGGGGGGGGGCGGCGTCTGGTCGGCTGAATGCCTCTGAGACTGGTGTTTTCTGATCTCTCTGCGTGCCCTTGGTTACTGACGTGGGATCCGAGGAGGACGGACAGAGGGAAGCCAGCTTGCTCAACTTGTGTGTCCTGGCTCTAGTGCAATAGCAGGTCTGCCTGAGCGACCTCGCGTGTGTACAATGTGCTGTAGCGGCAGGATTGCCAGAAACGCTTGCTCACACAGGAGTCGTCTGTCTGATCTCGAGGAATGCAAGTGCTGCTTTTATTTTTAGGAAACAAATACTTGGTTAATCATCTATGCTACATGACTCTGGAAGTGCAACTCTACTTTGTGATCCTCCGAATATAATACACAGCGTTAAGAAAAGATTTTGGGGGCACAGAGTCTCCCTTGAGCGCCAGTTTGCTCTCATTATAAGATCATCATTATAGTCGTGCAGGCAGGCCACCATATGTGCGTCCCGGCAGGTGTATCGACAAGACAAAGAAAAGACTAGGTGGTGCGTGTAGCCCGGGTCTACCGTACGTCAAGGAATAGATCATCACCCCTCCTGGTCGGGGTAAGCGTAGGGTGCCATCCAGGGGTCGTCGGGGGCTGCAGCGACTGCTCGTCTCGGGAGAAGGTGTTGGTGTTCTCCTGCTCGCCGTCGCGGTTGTTGCGGCGCCACCGGCTGCCTGCCGCCAACTCGTCGCTCTGCAGAGCCAGGCCGGCCGCGCGCTCGCTGCCCAGACGCTTGGTGGCGAGAGAAGAAAACGAGGAGCACGAAGAGGATCCGTCAGAGCGATTCGGCCGCGGGAGACCAGGCCTCTGCTGCTGCTGCTGCTGCTGCTGCAGGTGCTGCTGCGGGTGCCAGTGGTACTGGTGCTGGTCGTGGTGCGTCGTGGGCGCCGACGGCGCGGGGCCGTCGTCGTCCCAAGGCGCACGGTAGGCGGTCGTGTTCTCGGGCGCCCAGAGCGCGCGGTGGACCTGATGGACCAGTTGCGGATCTGTCGGCCCCTCTGTCTCGTATATCCTGGCGGCCTGTGCCTGCTGCAACGGGACGTCGGCCCTCTGCGGTTGCGGCCGCTGAAGGCGTAGTGGTTGCGGATGCGGCGAGGACGACGGCGAGCGGGATGGCGGTACCATACGCAACGTCGGCGAGCCTGTTCTGAATTGTGATGGATCAGGACGGGGCAGCGACAACAGCCCGCCTGGCGATGGCACAAGCTTCTTTCGGTCGGGATGCCGAGAGGGCACAACCTGACTTGCCATCTCGTTCGGACCTCTGGATGCTGCTCCAGCGGCCGGCTGCATCAGGCCGAGCGTCGGACTAGGCTGGCCGGGTGGAGATGCATACATAGGCCTAACGGGCGGCGGATTGACTTGCAGATTTGACCTGTTCAACCGTCCAGGAATCTCGGGGTAGGAGACTGGGGATCGCCCAACACCCGAGTATGGCGATTCGACCACGGGAGAGAGGCTGCCCGGCTCGGGTGCAGTACCATCGTCTCCATCGAAGCCTCCGCTCGAGCTGGAAATGGTTGTAGCTGATTGCTGAGACTTGTAGGAATCGTGGTGGTCAGTGCCGTCCTGGCTGACTCCTTTCCGGTGTGAACGGCTTTGACTGAGGCTGTTACTCCTGCGGCGCGGCGGTTCCGGGTGGGAGAAGCTCATGGGAGGTATTTGGTGACCAGGCAGACTCTGGGCTTGGGCATTCTGCTCTGGTCCGGTCCCGGGCCAGACAGTCAGGGGGCGAGCCGGCAGCACATCTTGAGCCGACTTGATGTGTGCTGGTGGAAGCAAACCCAAGCTCGTGGGTAGCGCAGGTCCCTTGGGTGCCGAAGGGGCCACTGGACTCCCGGCGCCGTGCCCAATGCCGACCTGTGAAGCTAGAGATGCATTCACAGCCGCCAATTTGAACGTCTTTCCGCTGGTGGATGCAGTCAATGGTGTTGGTGCCTCTAATTCAGCAAGCTCGGCAGCTTGGGCCTTCGATTTTGGGTTTCCTAGAATCCAATTGCCGTATGTGTCGGCGACATAATATGTCGTTGCAGACTGTGGGTTTGACGACGGAGGTCGCCAGACCTGTGAGAAACCTCGGCCCACCAGTGATGGGTGCCCAGAGCCATCCTCTTCGAATTCCGTCATGGTACTCTCGCGGAGGTTAGCATGAACAGGCGGTGGAGCTGTCAGCTGCGCGACCTGGGCTGCTTGAATCTGAGAGTCTGTCTGGTGATGGCGCTGTCTACCTTGCCCCTCGGATGCATGGAGGGCAGGGGGAGTCGATAATGTGAGGCTGACCTTGGGAATTGTCAATGAGAGCATCGGTCTTGGTGGCGAGTCTGGCTTCGGCGGTAAAAGCCTTGAAGTTCTTCGGTGGAAGGGAGACTTGACGACCAGCCTCTGCTCACTTGTCGGACGTGACACGGCCAAGCCGATGGCGTCTGGACGCCAGCTTTTTCTTGAATAGTCAACAGGCCGAAGCAAGGGTGATTTGCCGTGGATGGGTGGGGAGATGTGGAAAACATTGTCCTGTGCCTCCTTGGGGTAAAAACCCCAGGAGTCACGATTGGTGATGGACGTCGACCTGTTGTCGGATCCAGAAAGCTGCCTCTTTCTCCTTCGCCTGGCGAGCACAAACGCTGCTATCAATATGCCTGCAACTGCTGCAACACCGACTGAGAGGCCGACAAGCTGTGCCGTTCCGAGTCCACCAGAATCGTCATCGGTAGGCTCAGCTTGCGCAGGTCCTGGCGTAGGGGTAAATTGAGAGCTCGAAACATCAGTGGGAGTCAAATCTGAGGCGGACCCGGCTTCATTGGATGAAGTGGCCTCTCTAGTTGAGGTTGCCAGAGTCGTGATACTTGTTGTGCGAGATGCTGACGTAGGCGTACGTGATGTTGTCGCCAATGAGGATCGCGTCGAAGAACTCGTGGAGGTCTGGGGGGAAACCAGCTTGACGCCACCACCAGTAGCCGGGATGATAAAAATGGCCTCAATGGCCGTGTGTGTCGGGAGAGCGGCGCTAGGCTGACCAGCGCACATGAAATATGCCGTGTCTATCGTGTTCCCTTTGGTGGTCTGTTAGCATTCATTTGCTCATGTTGCTTCGCTGATTCGCCTCGGCTTCACGTACTATCAATCTCCCCAGCTGCGCAAGATCCTATCGACTGTTCCGCTTCGATACATTGAACTGCGCCCTCGCCAATGGTGAAACCTGAAGTGCCCGTCTCAGCACACAGACACTCGAGTGATGTAGTCGTGTCGCAAGACGTCTCGGCAAAGTTGTCGTTGAGAAAAGAGACGAGGCACCCGCTTGCGCAGTTTGGAACGAAGCGTGCGAGATGCCCCGTGAACCTGAATTGGTCCGCCGCAATGGCGATGCTGAATAGTGCAAAGGTCCAGAAAAAGCTGACAAACGGCTTGGGGACCATCCTAGGAAGGGACATCTTACACCGTTAGCGCTGCGCACAATGAAGCAATCGTCGTGTCAGCTCACCTGAAGACCTGTCCCATCCTTCATGCGTTGCAAGGAAATGGCGTTGAATCGCAGCTGGTTATTGAGAGTAGAAAACCCGCTAGAAGGTATGATCTGCAGCAGCACGGTCTGATGGACGGTGTTGATTATAGAATATTGAGTTCCAAGCCATAAAAGATCAACAGAAAAGGGATATCATTCAAGACGTCCAGCATCCCATGTATGGAACAGAATGATAAGCGGCCAGAGATGTGACCGTAAGTCCGGTCCAAGGAAAAAAATACAAGCTGCAGAATGAAAAGAATTAAGCTTCGCTTGAGAAGAGAAATGGGAGAGGAGACGAGAGAAGGAAGGGGGACCGGGCAAGTACGAGAAGATCTAGGGGCCCAGCGGTTCATGAAGAGATGGACATGCAGAGTGGTCGCGTCTGGCAACACGATGAAACTTGATAAACGAGTAGATGTACAAGCGGGTGGCCCGCGTCTACAGACCTGGGCTGCAACCATGACTGAGCCCCCGTCTCGGGGTTCTCAGATGCCGCTCGTCATCGTGGCAGGCTCCAGACTCGGCGCCAACAGAAGTGACGGATGGCCACCTTGCTCTCGTGTGATGCGCCTTCTGGTTTCTGCAGTCGCGTTGCACCGCTGGCCCCTGGTGCCTGTTCGTTTGGGGGCGCCAGGATGCGGAAGATCGCCAGGGCTGACGAAGGGGCGGCCCAGTACCCCGGCGTCACCTACGCAGAACCTCTGAAGACTGAGCGGAAGATTCGGGTGGAGCGGGCCAGACGCACGCCTCTAGTCGCTGGACGCCTCGCACACTCAAGTCTGGAACTCCCAGGAGCACTTGTCGGGCGCTCGCCAACAACAATGGTTGGCCGGGGCATGGCTGTTTCGGGGGCCAAGGTGTTCCATCTGGATGTAGGTCAGAAGGCTCTGCGGTACTTTCTCACCAGTCCAGCACACCACGTTGAAGAGTCCAAAGCCTGTCGTCCAATCGACTGGAGGGTACGAAGACGCTGGCATGCATCACGGCCGTTCGTGGTTGGATGTTGCCGATCCTGAATCTAGGCGCCCTGGTAAGCGCGGAGCGAAGCGCTGGATCGAAATATGACGTCTGAGTCACGTGTCTGTATTGAGTCAGCCTTCTCGTCCAATCATCATAGTTCATTTGCCCGTTTCGTAGTCGCCCAGCAAGCCAAACGCTGCGACTCTGCAGCCATGATGCTCACCGGCACGTTTCAAGGACGCTGTCAATCTCATCCCGAGAGCATGACGATACCGGAGACTTGCAGTTTGCTTCTCAGAGACCGATGGCGGTCGTCAGTGGCACATGATGACATGGGGGTTTTCCTGAAATGACTACGGAACGACCCCCAACGCAACCTGTCCATTGAATCCAGCTTGGGGCCGGATCGAGGAAATAGCGATCTGGGACGCGACTTAGACTTGGACTTGCAGAGTGGTGACATGGCAGAACTAGATTCTTCAGCTCCGACGCCGCCCCCGTTCGGGCGTGCTTGGCTCCATCGCTCACATGACAGGAGAATGAATGAAGAAATAGCTCATCGTTCCCGTAGTCTCATTCTTGGTATCTTGCGTGTCATCCGCTTCATCTACTTTTCACCAAAAACGGTCAGGCCATAGGCCTCACCTTGGCGCAGCTCCCTCGGCGCCATAAACCACCCGCCCTCTCCTGCCTTTCCCTTTGCTGACCATCGTTACCACCGTCGGCTCGCCAGCCTCTATGCGGGCGTCGTCGCAGTGGGCTCGGCGCTTGGAGCCGCTTCGCTGGCAGCAGCTGCTTTGGCAGCATCTGTGGCACTCGGAGCAAACGCAGCCTTGGCACGGTTGGACTTGATGACCTTTTGCACGGCTTCCTCGGCAGAGTCCCAATCAGACGTGTCGAGCTGGACGAGATCGATTTGATACAGCTCAGCAATTGCCGACAGAGCCTGGAAGCTCTTCTTGTCCGAGACAAAGCTGATACTGACACCGATGCGACCGAACCGGCCGGTTCGGCCAATTCGGTGAAGATAGGTCTCCGGGTCAGGCTCGGTATCGCCTCGTCCCTTCATGGGGATGTCGTAGTTGATCACCATCGAGACACTAGAAACGTCGATACCTCGGGCCAGCACGTTGGTTGTGAGCAAAACCTTGGAACGGCCGCTTCGGAACTCTTCCAAAAGTCGATCGCGATCGTTACCATCGAAAGCGCCATGCAGTGCCGCCACTCGGTGACCATCTGCCTCCATGCGCTTCTGGATTTCGTTGGCGCTCTCGCGAGTCTGTGGTAGAAGTGTCAGCATGCGGTTCGCTGAGTACTGTGACTGACAAAACACGTACCCTGACGAAGATGACCGAGGAGCCGATAGTCATGAGGCCGTAGAGTTTGACAAGATTCTCGTATTTTGAATCTTCGCTGTCACAGTCGATGTACATTTGCGAGATGCCAGACACTGTAAGCTCCGTGTGCTTGAGTCGGATCTGATCAGCGCCCTGGGCAAACTTTTCGGCAAAGCCCATAACCTTGTCGGGGAACGTCGCAGAGAACAGGAGGATCTGAATGTTACGGGGTAGAGTACTGGACGATGTTAATGTTTGATCAGCCGTGCGGGGTGGCGAGGATGGAGCCTTACCTCTTGACTCGGACACACTGATCACCGAGGCCTTGCTGGTCCAGCATGCTGTCGGCCTCGTCAATGACGAGGAGACGAAGCTGGGAGACGTCGAGTTGCCGGCGGCGAGTAATGTCCATGACGGTACCGGGCGTGCCCACGATAACATTGGCCTGGACAGGAGCGCCACGCTCCAGAGCGCCTGGGAGAGCAGCAGCAACCTTGAGACCCTCGCAAAAGTTTCCGATCTTGTTTATCACACCTTCGATCTGGCGAGCAAGCTCACGGCTGGGCGCTAGAACAAGGGCCTGAGGCTGGTTGGGTTGACTCAAGTCGATGCGAGACAAAATGGTGACGACAAAGGCAGCAGTCTTGCCGGTTCCCGACTGAGATTGCGCGATCATGTGACGAGGAGGGTTTTGGAGCATGAGAGGAAGGGCCTTCTCCTGGATCTTCGAAGGCTTAAAGTAGTTCAGGTTGAGGAGACCTTTGAGGATAGGCTCGGAGCTGTCATAACGAAAGTCAGAAACAATTCGGCACACTACACCCGTTTGTGGGGGACGGAACGGACAGATTCATCTCCTTGAAGGTCTTTGCTGAGTAAAGAGTGCTATCGGGATTCTGCTGAAGATCACCCAATTTGATGTCGACATCGTAGCTGTTCTCGACGAGGCCTGAGTCTGCGCCGTCGACCTGGGCGTCCTCAAGGTTGGCAGGGTCGCCCTCGGCAGGAGGGTTCGCGGGGGGGTTGGCCTCGGCCATTGCGCTTCGTCTGTTCGAAGTGAAAACGCCAGGCGGCTGCGTTTCAAGGTGACGGGCTTTTCGGAGCCGATCGATCGCACAGCCAGGTCGTTGCTGCTGCTGCCAAGTGCGTTAGACGAGGAGGGCGGTGATGGGGAAGCTGTGAGTACTAGGTAGGCGCGATTTCATGCGCGAGGATAGAGGTGGGGGGGCAGACGTACTGGGCTAACACGAACTGTGTGGTCGCTGAAGAATCTTGATCTCAGCACGAATAAAGCGGTAAAGCCGTGCTTTCGAATCGTGTTGAGCTGGTTTATCTTATGCACAGGTGTCAAAGACTTGACAGGTCCGATTCCCAAATTTGGGTGGAAATTCTGAGAGCTCCTTTCCAGGTGTTGCCTGACAGGAGCGGCAAACATGGCGGGGCAACAGCTCAGATCAGGTACCTCGCCGGGTACTGCTGGTGCTGGGCGCGGGGCATCACGGGCGTTTCTGCCGAAGATCTACCGTTCGAAGGAGCCCGGGCGTGCTTGCCTGCGGCTGCAGGAGGCAGCTCCAAGTACCAATGACTATCCCTGAATGACCTTCCTCTTTCCCCACATCCATTGATGGGCCGACAGTCGGTCGTCAGACCATTGGACCGAGCATCCGGAAAAAAGCCACAGGTGACGAAGGGCAAAGCGAGGTACCTAAGGTTAGGTACTTGGGCAAAGTACGGCCAGCTGTGCCTGACGTGAGGATAAGATCGACCCGGACAACCAGGAGCCTCCCACAACTACCTGCCCTACCTTGCCTTCCAAGGTACCTATGTACAGAGGCAGGCACGGAACGAAGGCTGACGACGTCCTGGCTTCGTAATCTACTTCACATCCAAAAAGAGTTCTGCTCGAGCTGGATGCCTTACCTTGATCACATTTAACCTTTCTGCCTCTGTTTCCATCACGAGTCTGTCTGTCTACCTATTTGACGTAGGTCAGGTAGCCAAGTTGAAATCCACCCGCCTGCTACCTCAACCCGTCTTGGACCTACCTCGACTTACCTACCTACATCCATCTCTCCAAGGCACCTCCAACTGAGGTGGTGCGCCTGTGCCTCGCATTCGCAACTTCTCGTTGGTGCCCACATCACTCCAACTCGACTGGTGCCAGTCCTTCCGCTTCGGGTCTCCGTGCCGTACGAACGACGCCTTGGCTCTGCCACTCTGGCTACCAAGAGGTACTTTCGGCCCTCCAACCCAGGCGGGGTTCATTTGAGGCCAGCACCGCCCACCCACCCAGCTTCTCCACGCTTTGCGCATTGATCTGTCTCTCGAGACTCTTCAATCACTTGTCGCATGCGCGCATTGGGCTTCAAGAGTCTCCAAAATGGCTGAAGTGGACGCCCTGCCCACGTTTGGCGCCGAATTGAAGGTACGTTCCAGATGCTCACGGCATCAAACACGCACCCGCGCGCACATACACACATGCTTCGTTGTCCCCTTCTCTGCCCCCTCGCCTGAGATCATGGACTGCGCCTTACACGATCCCATAGGATGGCTTCAAGCCCGCGAACGCGTGGGTCGGCCACGGCATCACCTGGCTCGAAGACATACAACAATTCTACCGGGAACGAAGCGCCATCGAGAAGGAGTATTCTGGAAAGCTGAATGCGCTGGCGAAGAAGTACTTTGAGAAGAAGAATAAGAAGACAGCGGCCCTCAGCGTAGGCGACACGCCCACCATGACGCCTGGCTCACTGGAGAGCGCATCCTTGACGACCTGGACGACGCAGCTGACGACGCTGGAAAATCGCGCCGACCAACACGATCGATATGCCAATAATCTCGTTTCGCAAGTGGCCGAACCTCTACGGTTCCTCGGCACGCGCTTCGAAGAGCTTCGTAAACGCCACGCCGACTTTGCGGCCAAACTTGAAGCCGAGCGCGATGCCCAATACGCCGATCTTCGGAAGGTCAAGGCCAAGTACGACGCATCGTGCCAAGAGGTGGAGAGTAAGCGCAAGAAGGCCGAATCCTCCTACGACAAGGCCAAGGCGCAGAGCTCGTACCAACAGCACATCTATGACATGAACAATGTCAAGAATACATATCTCATCGCCATCAACGTAACAAATAAGCAAAAGGAGCAGTACTACCACGAATACATCCCGGAGGTCATGGACAGCTTGCAAGACCTGTCTGAATTTCGCACCGTCAAACTGAATGGCTTGTGGACGGTGGCGTCGCAACTCGAAGCTGGTCTCCTCCAGCAGGGACATGGTTTGATGGAGACATTAACGTCGGAAATCACTCGAAACCAACCGCATCTCGACTCAATGATGTACATGCAGCACAACGTAGGCACCTGGCAGGAACCTGCCGACAAGACATTTGAGCCGAGTCCCGTGTGGCACGACGATGACTTGATGGTGGTCGACGAGTTTGCCAAGGTCTTCTTGCGCAACGTATTGGGCAAGTCCAAGGGCCAGCTGGGCGATCTTCGTCGTGAAGTGGACAAGAAGAGACGGGAGGTTGAGGGGGTGAAGACACTCAAGCAGCGAGTCCGCAGCGGCGCCGAAAAGAAGGACGAGGTCACTGTTGTAACGCAGCTCTTTGCTCTGCAGGAGGAACTGCATGCTGTGGACAGGAAGAGAGTGACGGCAGAAGTCGAAACGTCAACCATTACCTCGGTCGTCGGCGACGTGACGCTGGGTGCCAAAAACCATAACTTCAAGGGCCAAACCTTCAAGATTCCGACCAACTGCGATCTCTGCGGCGAGAGGATCTGGGGCTTGTCTGCCAAGGGGTTTGACTGCAGGGACTGCGGCTATACGTGCCACAGCAAGTGCGAGATGAAGGTGCCCGCCGACTGTCCTGGCGAGCAGACGAAAGAAGATCGCAAGAAGCTCAAGGCGGAGCGGCAGGGTACCGCAAATGCGCTGCTCAAGCCCTCCAATGGGACGTCAGGTCACACGGCAGAACTACCGAGCCTCAGCAGGACAAACACGATGAACTCGTTGAGCTCAGGATATGCACATAGCGCCCAGCGATCCGTTTCCGGTTCCATCTCGGGCCCCCGATCACCAATCGATGAGACACCACCGCCAGTCGAGCCGACGAGCCCAAGACCGACTACGGCCGCAGCATCGACCGTCAGTACGGCGACGGTGCGCAAAAACCGCATCATGGCCCCGCCTCCGACTGCATACGTCAGTGAACTGCCTGGCAGTGCTCCCAACGGGTCATCGTCGAGCGCAGACCACCAGAGTGGCAAGATGCTGTATGGTTTCGAAGCCTCGGGCGATGGAGAGCTCAGCATAGCCGAAGGACGCGAAGTCATTCTGCTCGAGCCTGATGGTACGTGGGAGCCATTCACGACTGACACTTTGACTGCTACTGGCGCTGACATGATCTGCAGATGGATCGGGATGGCTCAAGGTTCGTGCTGGCTACAAAGAGGGCTTGGTGCCGGCCACGTACGTCGAGATTATGGCAGCACCGACTCCGGCACCAGTCATAGCACAGCACACGGGAGCTTCAGGCCGGCCAGACTCGACGTATAGCAACTCTGGGTCGTCCGTTGGGACTGCGAGCATGGCGAAGAAGAAAGGGCCGGCGGTGGCGCCGAGGCGGGGAGCGAAGAAGCTCAAGTACGTCGAGGCGATCTACGAGTACACAGCACAGAGCGACACGGAGCACAGCATGGCCGAGGGAGAGAGGTTCGTGCTCATCAAGGAGGATCCAGGCGACGGATGGACCGAGGTCGAAAAGGGGGGTCAAATCAAGAGTGTTCCGGCGAGCTACGTGCAGGTCGTCTAGGAGGCACTTGCAGCGGGGGAGAAGGAGGAGGGCGGCCGAGGACTGTGTGGCCGCGAGACGGTCGGATCGCCGCGCCGTCAAGCACAAGTCGAGGCCACCGCGGAGAATCATCGGAACCGAAGTACGCCGACACGAGCGGCTCGGGGCCAGACGGCTGCTTCAGCCTCAACATGGCGCGCCGAGGGATTGACGAACGTAACGAGTGTACGGCTGGTACGGCGCGACTCGGGACTCCGAGAGCGACGCATGAAACGGCGGAGCGAGCATGGGACATGGGTGGCGCCGACGTGCCGAGCTATTGATTGATGGACAGAGCAGGCAGTCTTTGAACGCAAGGGCTGGGCCGGCACATTGTATCATGTACGTGCATGACCCGAGTATAAACGCATGGCAGAGCAGCCATCCATCGGCGCAAGGCGGGAGGTCAAGGAAAGGATGGGGGGCTGTCTGTCACCTTGGTGTCACCTTAGATTGTAGTTTCTGATCACACATTCATTCGGTTTGGGGCCCTGACTTCTGGGTTCTGGCTATGCCGTGTGACAAACCGGCCATCGGGGCCATGCCAGTGAGGTGACAAGGGCTCAACCTGGTCGGGGCGCGCCCAAGTCGAATGGGTGGGCGGCGACGATGGGACGCCATAGCGCGTGCGCGTCATCGTGGGAGGCTAGCAGAAGCGGGAGCATCGTCAAACAAGGTAGGTACAGGTAAGGTATGTTGCGGCGCAGCGGGTGACGATGCACTGGCGCAAGCTTCTTTTCCAGGGAGAGCAGAATGGGGGGCCAATGACGGGTTGGCAGTGGACAGGGTGGACAGGGGGGGAAGCTGCCCACCTACGATGGTTACTGTGCTAGGTACTCGGGTAGGTACCTACAGTACCTAGGTAGAGCAAGGACCTACCGGGTAATTAAGGTAGTAGGATCAATTGAACAGGAGCTGTTTGCTGCTGTTGCAGGGGTGGGGGACCAGCCGAGCTTAAATTTTAAGGACCGACCTGCTTTGCCTGCCTCTCTGTATGAAGAGACCAGGCTCTTCTATTTTGCCACGGACAAACCAGGGATGACGGAGCTAAGATTGCGGTCGACCGGAAGTTGATTGTTGTTTTCCTTGGCGCACCACAGCGTGTGTCATGATTCCCGAGGCGAAGAGGCCGATCAATCTTGGATTGGCATGCACAGCCCCGACAACTAGGACCGCATCGAATGGGCGAAAGTATTCGGGGGAGGAGGGGGGGGAAGACGACTCTGATTTTATTATTGCCCTCTCAGACGGCCGTTGCTGCTGGCTGGCGTCTTGGCTGAACAAGCGAGAGAAGACGCGTCGTGGGTGCATATCGTATTTTCTCGAAACCGATGAGCGATGCGGGTGGGTGTGGGTGCCAATGCGGGCCCCTGGTTGCATGGCGACTGGCAGCGATGTTGGGACTAGTGCGTCATTAAGGTTGGTGACAGGGGGGCACGTTAGTGGCGGGAGCTCGTTCATTGGAACCTAGGTGGCCTGCGATAACAGGTACCACGACTTGCACGACCACCGCTACTTTCCGGGGAAAGTATGGCGAGTCCAGGGGGGGGAGGGGAAAGAACAATGTCCAGGCTGAACCACAAGAATCCAAGGGAGTCTCACAGGTTGACTGATTGACTGCCTGGTTGTGGTACAGGAACGAGGGTCAATCTCCTCGGCGGAAAGAGATAATGGGGGACAGCGAAAGAGGCAGGTTTGATGAACACGCCTTCCTCAGGCTAGCAACGCTACTCAAGGCCAAGTAAGTACCGGCCGGCAGGGACGAGGCATTAGGACAAAACAAAATGGGAAGGCACGATGTCTTGGCAGCACAACCATGGTGGGCAGCACCAAGGCGCCAACAATCTGCACGCCTCTGGGCTACTCTGGGCTACTCTGGGCACCCGCATCATGCCATCAGGACAAGAAGACCCGTCCCTTCCTGCCCATTCTCCCCTCGTGCCCCCTTCTCTCTTCTCCTCCTCCACCTCATCATCGGGCTTTACCACCTTCTAATTCCACGAGACGACGCGTAGAAGAGTCAACTCGCTCGCTCTTTGGTTGACTTCCCTTGCTCGTTCCTGCCATTGTCGCCTTTTACCAACATTCGCTGGCATTTCACTCTGTCCCCTCACTCTCTCGGGACCCTTTCTTCTTCTTTTTTTCTTCCCCTCTCCGCACATCCCGGCAGTATCACCACGAATCGATAGCAAATAAACTGAAACATGAAGGCCGCTATTCTTTCCGCCCTCGCGGCTGTCACCATCGCCGATGCTGCCTCCAAGACGACCCGGCAGACGCCCGACAGGACTCGCTCCCTGCCCGCCATTTCCGTGTCGGGCAATGCCTTCTGGGCCGACGGCGAGCGCTTCTATATCAGGGGCATCGACTACCAGCCCGGTGGTGCGGCCGCTAACGAGGACCCTCTCATCGACACGGAGGTCTGCTCCCGCGACATTGAGCGCTTCCGCCGTCTTGGCGTCAACGCCGTCCGCGTCTACTCCCTCGACAACAATGAGAACCACGACGAGTGCATGGACCTGCTGGCCGACGCCGGCATCTACCTCATGGCTGATGTGAACAGCCCGGACTACTCCATCAACCGCGAGGAGCCACACCCCTCTTACAACGCCGACTACCTCCAGTCCGTCTTCGCCACGGTCGAGATGTTCGCCCAGTACGACAACACCATGCTCTTCTTCTCCGGCAACGAGGTCGTCGACAACGAGAACAACACGGATTCCGCTCCCTACGTCAAGGCCACGACCCGCGACATCAAGAACTACCTGCGCGCCCGCGGCCTGCGCCAGGTCCCCGTCGGCTACTCGGCCGCCGATGTCGCCTCCAACCGCAAGCAGACCGCCGACTACTTCAACTGCGGCAGTGACGATGCTCGCAGTGACTTCTTCGCCTTCAACGACTACTCGTGGTGCAACACGGACTTCCTGACGGCTGGCTGGGACCAGAAGGTCCAGAACTTTACCGACTATGGTCTGCCCATCTTGTGAGTGTCGTCATGTCTCACGTGCCTCTCGACCATGCTGGACTGACCTCTCTGTAGCCTCTCTGAGTTTGGCTGCATCACCAACGGCGAGCGCACCTTTGGTGAGATTGAGTCCCTCATGCACAGCAACATGACGTCCGTGTACTCTGGTGGCATGATGTACGAGTACTCCATGGAGGACAACGACTACGGCATTGTCGACATTGAGAGCAACGGCGAGATTGAGGAGCGTGACGAGTTCCAGAACCTCGCCGACGCCTTCAGCCGCTGGCCCGCTCCCAGTGGCAGCGGCAGCCCCGCCCACTCCACCACCCACTCCGTCTCTTGCCCGACGCAAAACTCGCTGTGGGAGGTTGATGGCGATGAGATCCCCACCATGCCGGAGGAGGCCGAGCAGTACATGCAGAACGGCGCCGGCGAGGGTCCCGGCCTCCGTGGCCCCGGGTCCCAGAACGCTCCCGACAGCGGCACCTCGACCGGCGGCATCGCCAGCGGTGCGCCCTCGCCCACGGGCAGCGAGGCTCCTCGTCGCAGCAGCGACAACGGTGGCAGTGAGGACAGCAACAACGACAGCGCCGCCCGCGGTCTCGTTATTGAGAAGGACATTCTCATGGTGACTGGTGCCGTCGTCGCCTTCACGCTCTTCGGCGCTGTCCTTCTGTAAAGACGTGTATCTTGGAAGAAACCGGGTCAGAGGAGCTTCTTGACTTGTTTTTTTCGGGGGGTTGTTTCGAGAGGCTTTTGGGCCCCATCTGGTTTGCTCTACGAGATAGGGTTGATTCGGCGTCGGCCAGCGCTAGATGCTGCTTCGTCGGGGGCCGTGATGACTGGCGTCCGGTTTGCGGGGAGGCTCTCTTGTGAGGGTCAGCTGTATACACATGTACATACCTTTTTGGCACACGCACAGCAACACAGTATAATGGACATGAACTCGATTGTGAGACCTTTTGCTTGTCCGTGTTTACAAGCGTCATGGCGTGCTATTAAGCCTCATCACCTCATCACCTCATCCATTTCAGTCTACGTTCCTTCAAGGTAGGAGAAGTGACTAGGTTTCCGAGTCTGCTTACGAGCGAACAACAATCTTGAGTTGCCGCGTGCTACCTCTAGGTCATACATCTCAATCTCCTTTTCCTTTCCCCTTTGGTGGCCCTTGGTACATCGGTCTGACCTTGGAAGTCCGCATGCGTGTGCTGTACTGTTCCGCCGCCGTTTCATCGGCGCTTGTATCCGACTTTATGTAGCTGGGCTCTTCCTCCTCCTGCTCTTCTCGCACAGTCTGGCCGAGGACGCATTCACGCTCCACGTACGGGTCTGCCGTGGTCCAGCTGTGGTGGCTGTTGGCAGATGTGCTCGCAGCTTGACGCCTCAGATTGCCCAGCTCCACCATGTCGTTGCTGCCGCCGGAACCGCCGCTGCGATGCAAATGTCCTCGCCGCGTACTCTCCGTCACGCTGCGTTGGCTGGGTGATCGTGACACGAGTTCCCGGACATCACGCACAACGTCAAGCGCTGCTCGACCAGCGCTGACATTGGCGTCAACGAGCTTGTTCTTTCGTCGAATCTCAGTCCAGCGCGTCATGGGGCCCAGCTCGAGGATGTTCACACGGCGCGTCTTGGCTACCGGATTGCCAATGACGATCGGACGCCACGGCTCGTCTTCGGCCACGGCATCGTCGGTTCTGGGTGTGCCTTCCAGCATCGAGGCCCGGCGGTGTAACGATTTGCGACGGACTTCAGTCCAGCGGTCCATCTCAAAAGACTTGCAGGCTGGAATGATTTGAACCTCCTTGAAACGGATGAGTCCAATGAGAAGGAGTACTGTCAAGACGAACAGTATACCTGACACCACACCTGTCGCGGCTCGCTGCCCGAGGTTTCGCAGAGAGAGGCCGCCAAGAGTTGAGGCTCCTGCTGCAAAGACAAAGGCAAAGGTGTGGCACAGGGCAAGGCCAGCACTAACTCTGGGGAATGAGGAATAGTTTGTCCTCTTCTTGGACGTGGCCGACTCCTCTCGCGGATGTCCAATCATTCCTGGCTGCAGGTCAGATGTGTCAAAAGTTTCCATGATGAACCCATTGCACTCAGAAATGGCCAAGCAGGAGAGAAATCCTATGAGGGCGGCGACGATGGCGGGAACGCTCGGGTGCATCGGGGGCCCCTCCGAGACCATGGTGTAGATGAGGCCAGCCAAAGGCAGACCAATTGCGAAAATGGTACGGCGGAGGAGATGAGATGTCCAGAGGAACTTGTTGTCAAGGGTCATCCTGCTGGTATTCTGCTCACGGTGCCGCGCGCGCGAGAAAAGGTTGGCTTTCTGGAACGGAATCCCCACCAGCGCGCCCAAGGCGATGGCAGCAACCATGAGACCGACGAATGGCGACCGCATCCTGTAGAATCTCGAGGACAGTGATCCCAGAAACAATATGATGAGCACGACTTGAGCATAGATCCAACCGACGTAGACAGCCATGATGGCGAAACCGGGCTGGCAGAGCATCTCGAGCGAAAGGAGTACGCCATGCCAGACCTCCTGTCCCCACCACTTGGGCCCTGTCTTCATCCTGTGCATCATGACCTCCCCTCGTGCAAGACGCCGGGAGATGGCCGTTTCGGTCCGGACTTCTGCAACAGATCGTCGGAATGCGGATCTTCTGACTTCGGGACACACCGTGTTCAGCAAGAGGGTAATGACAATGAGTATGATACTCAGGTAGAAGCCCCATGCAGGCCGAAGACTGTCGATAATCGCAGCACCTAAAAGGAAGCCGATACTGAGGGAACCAATCCAACACCATGTCCAGAGTCCGAGCCAGGCACCGAGTCCTCCTCCGTGTCTCCTGACATCGTGCTCGTCTACAACCTCCTGATGAGGGTTGCCACTCATCAGAGAAGCGCCGAAGAGGTCTGTCAACATGGAGTCAAAGTTCATGCTCGAGAACCCAAGCGAGATTCCCATCAGACTGCGGGGGATCAGCAACACCAATCTCTAGGCGGATATGTTCTGAAATCTCTGGGCATAGACCGCTAGTGCCTGTGGAAAGAGGAGTCCCAGGGACATGATGAGGCCGCCCAAAATATATGGCTTTCTGCCGTGGAGCAGGGGAAGTGGCCAGCAGAAGAATGTAGGCAAGGCCATCCCCAGAAAACATCCAACATTGCCGTAGACGGTTGCGTGCGTGGTGTCGAGAATGTAGTACTGGATGGAAGGGACGATACCGGCGTAGATGCCCAGAACCACTCCGGTCAGTGCCGTGCTTGTACACGCGACTATGGCCACAAACTGCTTGCGGGCGGGTGACCAGTCCCGTGCGATGGGTTGTCGTCGATGTGACTTGGGCAGGTTGAAAGCCCGGACGCCAGGCAAACTGACATGAGATTTGTTCCGAAGGCTAATGCCTCGACCGTGGCGTATTCCGCGGCCTGCAGCATCATCGTCCGGAAGATCTCCGTCGTTGCTCCCCTCTCCTGCCCGTCGGTTCGCCAACCTGGTGCGGATCGAGCCATCTCCCTTGCGCGGCGTACCGTACTGGGCAATGAAATCTATGACATCTGGCCCGTCGGATGACTCTTCGGGTGTGTTGATTCCTGGGCATGCATGGAAAGGCTCGGGTGCGGGTTGTTGACGACGAGTTGCTCGTGGCATGCTTGATGAACGCACAGGGATTCGACGAACCTCGTTTTCGGGCAATACCAAACAAGCCTCATCTGTGCAGGGTACACAGTTCCCGCAATCTGTTTGCGTTGTCGGGGCCAGCATCGGTTTTGGCATTGACGGCTGTGAGTTTTGGTGGCCAACCAGCTCACGTAGGCAGGGATGAGCCGGCATCGGCAGTGTGGCAGCTCGACCGTACTTGCGCTTTGTCAAGTCATCAAGATCTTCCAGGTCAATAGTCTCCAGATGTGTATGTGTGTCGTCGTTTGGGAGGGTCCTGGCCCCACGGGTCTCGGGGTTCGAGAGCAACGGTGACTTCACCGAGTCTTGCTGCGTGGCCTCCTGATGATCAACAATCTGGCAAGCTACCGCAAGAGCTTCATCCAGTAGACGCTCCATCTCATTGACGGCGTGCTTGAAGGCGCCGGGTTCGATTTTCGATGGAGGTAACGTGGATTCACGTGTCAAACTGCGGGGGGACATAGATCTTCGAGCAGACGAGATGGGAAGCGGCTCAGTGCTCTCGTTGCTGTCTCTTCCGCGCGGCATACTTTCGGCTCGTCCAGGACGCTCAGTCAACGCTGCACTGTATCCATCACGGTTGCGCAGTAAATCTCGGAGCCATTTCGCTGTGCGTCTGTAATCGAGAGCTGCACCCTTGGTGGCCGTGGATTTGGTGGCAGGAGATGCATGCACTTGTTCATTGTGTTCATCGTTATGGAGCGAATCGTCTGACCCGATAGCGAAGTATTTTTCCTGGCTTGATACATCTGCGTCATCGTGCAATGGCTGTACCTTGGACACGTGTTGGTGGTCTAGGCAGGGTACGCTTACTCCAGAGACTTCGAGTTGGTGATATGCTGTTGCTTCGGTGCGTCCGTCTGGAGGGGTAACAGACACCTTTCGTGAGACGTTTTCCGGAACAAGAGCAGTTTGCACGTCTGGGCTGTCTTCACCGCTAGAAGTCTCCATAGAGGTCTGGGCGTCAGAAACGTGCTCTTCCTCCCTCGAGGCGTCAAAGGGAGCAACTTTTGACACAGCTGGGTGGCTTTGCTGCCCCTGGTTGATATTCTCGTGATGGTAGAAGGGCTTGAGGTCAGCAGCTGGTCGAACCTTTGTGGCACGGCTGTGCTCAGCGTGCTTTGGAATTTCTATGGGTATGGTTGTAGGGCAAAGGTCGTCCCCAGTCAGTGTGCGCTGTACCTGAACCAACAAGATCTCAGGATCTGAAGATGTAGACGATACAATTCCCGAGTCTGTGGGTGGGAGCGATGTCTGTTGAGCGAGCTGTCCTGACGTGCCGGCGTCGCAAAAGTCTGCGCCCTTCAGAAGCCCGGGATGCTGCACCTTTCTGTGGGATTGTGTAGTGTGGAGTGCTGGGTCGATGCATGGCCGCTCCTGTTGATCGTATGGGTGTCTGGGAGGCCCGATAGGAATCCGGTCAGGAGACGGTGATTCTGTAGCGCGGAGCGAGCGCGCACTTTCGTCTGCTACCGTAGGTTTCGCTTCGGACGTGACTGGCGAATGCGCACGCAGGAACGGAACCGTATCGGTAGAGGGCTCTCGACTCAGAATAGGGGGAACAGGAAGATCTCGGTCTACGTCCATGGCCCGGCCGGGCTGGGTCTTGAGCAGCGCATGTCGATGGCCGGCGGCAGATTTTGAAGTTGAGGATAGGGTCGAGGCCATGCCTTTTCCTGGGGCCAGAACAACTGTCTCCTCAAATGATGGGCGGGTACTCGGGGTGGGCGTGTTGTCGAAGTCGCCTGCCACTATTTCTGTTCCAGAAACTTCTGGCCGAGCCGCAGCAGCTCTGTTGAAATTGAGATATTGTGCAAACATTTGACGTTTGGTGCCGACCGGGTTTGGAAGAGTTTCGACGGTGGGGACAGAGGGGGCGTCTGGAATGCCTGCGCTCAGGAGAGGCGTATCGTCAGAAACGACCGTCTTGACGGAAGGCGTCGAAGAGCTGGATTCTGACTTGTTGGCAGTGATGGTGAGCTCCTCGGCAGAGCTGTAGCTGCGGGACTTGAACCGTCGATGGACAGAGAGGAGGGGGTCTGTCAGGTGCTGGATCTCGATGGAAGGCGTCAGAGATCGGTGCCTCGAGGCCTGCGACATGGGAGCTAGCAGAAGCCACCCATGAGAGAGGACTCGGGCTTGTTCGTTTCGAACTAAAGATGCTGGTACTATGTTGGTGTGGAGGGATGGAGAGGGGGAGGATTATACAGAAGCAGATACAGAAGCAGATACAGAAGCTGGGCCAGACTTTTGTTGAGAGAAGCGAGGCTGAACCCGAGGTAAGAGTCCATGAGCTACCCACCTACCTACCTGCCTGCCTTGCCTCACCTTGGGACATACATAGGTACCTAGGTGGGTACAGAAGGAGAGCAGACAAAGCGCAGGACGGAAGCAGGTGCAGTCTGGGGGCCCTACGCAGCTTCCATCTGTCAGACGCGTGCCACGAGTGATGTTTCCATCGGTGCCCAGAGTACAGAAAGCAGCAGCACCAGGCAATCCCTGAGGTTGCAAGCCATGGAGATGCAAGGTTGCCAACAGAGGCCGTCAAAAAAAAAAAAAAAAAAAAAAAAAAAAAAAAGAGACGGCAAGCTTCTGGATGCAAGGGCGCAGGGTAGAAGGCGCATGGCGGCGGGACTGTGGCATCGAGCCCGACACACGACGATGGATGATCCTCTATTTCTTGAGGCAGTCTTGGTTACATGCTCTTGACTTTTGATCAATTGCGAATCGTATTTGTGTAGCATGGTGGTTTGAGGCACACGGCGTTAGTTGATGGCAAAAGTAGGTCGATGCACTGGCTCCAGGGCGAACCACTACCGAACGACAGTGAGAGCAGGTATCCGCCCTTTGCGGTGACATATCGACTTGCCCTTTCCCTCTGGCCAGCACATGGCGCGCGAGAGGGACTGGAAAGGAACTGGAAAGGGACTGAAGAGGGACTGAGTTGAGCATATACGTTTTTCCGCCGAGCACTTCGTGTCCACGAGTCTGCTTGTACGTGTGTAGGGATACCAATCTGGCAACTGGACACAGACATGTGGGGAAAACCTGGGGTGGTACTGACTGATTACTAGCCCCCCCCCCTCCACATGCCTCGGCTCAAACTGGCTACAACTCACCACCCTCCGGCACAGTGTCGTCGAGGGACCCTTCGCCGACCTCTTGTCATCGCACCGCGCGGATCAGCCAGCCAATCTCACTCGCCGCTTCTCCTCAAGACCTCTCGTTCCATCTGTACATTTCGGCATCTCGACCATCTTGGCAGGAAAACAATCCCCCCGTATCATTCAGCCGGCTCGATACCCCTTGCCCGCCGCCGCCACCGCTGCCGCAAGAGAAACACAGCAGCCCAGCAGCCCAGCAGCCCAGCAGCCCAGCAGCCCAGCAGCCCAGCAGCCCAGCACCATGGCGCTCCAAGACTACAAGTTTACGCACTTTCTCGTGTCGTCGCCGACGCCGTTCGTCGCGCACGTCGAGATCATCCGGCCCAAGAAGCTCAACGCCTTCTCGGAGGAGGTCTGGCTCGAGTTCGGCCGGCTCTTCGACCGCCTGAGCCACGACCCCGAGGTCCGCGCCGTCGTCCTCTCGGGGGCCGGCGACCGCGCCTTCACGGCCGGCCTCGACGTGCAGTCGGCCGGCGAGGGCCTCACGGTCAGCGCCACCAAGGGCGCCGACGCCGCGCGCAACGCCGCCGTCCTGCGCCGCCACATTGCCGAGTTCCAGGCGTGCATCACGTCGATGGAGAAGTGCGAGAAGCGTGCGTCATGGTCCCCCCCTCCAGTGGTCCCCCCTTCTAGTGGTCCCCCCTTCTAGTGGTCCCCTTCCTCCCGTGGTCCCCTTCCTCTAGTGTCCCTGCTGCCGAACGCTGCTGACTTTGATTCTGTCTCGGCCAGCCGTCATCTGCGTCCTGCACGGCATCTCGCTGGGCCTCGCCATTGACATTGCCTGCTGCGCCGACGTGCGTCTGGCGGCGCGCGGCACGCGGCTCGCCGTCAAGGAGGTCGACATTGGCCTCGCCGCCGACATTGGCAGCCTCGCGCGGTTGCCGCGCATCGTCGGCAGCATGTCGTGGGTCAAGGACGTGTGCCTGTCGGCGCGGGACTTCTCGGCCGACGAGGCGCTGGCCGTCGGCTTTGTGAGCCGCGTGCTCGAGACCAAGGCGGCGGCCGTCGAGGCCGGCCTCGAGATGGCGGCGCGCCTCGCGACCAAGAGCCCCGTCGCCGTGCAGGGGACCAAGGAGCTCCTGAACTATGCCAAGGACAACACGATCGCGGACAGTGAGTGGCGTCACCCTTTGTTCTTTCTATTTGTGCCATCGTCCCGCTGCGGCGACTTGCCCTGGGGCTATCTGAACTCTGTGCTAACGGGTTGGGGCAGGCCTGCGGTACACGGGGGTCTGGAACGCGGCGGCGCTGCAGTCTGGCGACTTTGCGGCGGCGCTGCAGTCGGGGCTGACGAAGAAGCAGCCGCGGTTCGAGAAGCTCTAGGCGACTCGGTGTGTGTAATGCAATGCCCTTATGGAATGCCCTCATGGGATGCCCTCATGGAATGCCCTTATGGAATGCCCTCATGGGATGCCCTCATGGAATGCCCTCATGGGATGCCCTCATGGAATGCCCTTTTGCGATGCCCATCATGACGTGACCTCTCAGTGCCACAGATATCCATGTGTCATACCACTCTCCTTTTCCCATCCGTCGTCCGTCGTAGGTACCACGCCCGTCCACAGCTCGTGTGATCGGTAGGCGGTTGGGCTTTTCCGGCTTGTTTGTGTAGGGTTCATTCAGGTGGTCGTCGTCGGAACCAGGGGTAGTTGCCGGCCAGGTAGTCAGGGTCGCTTCACTCCGAGCCCGAGTCCTCGACGATCTGCTGCGTCTCCTTGAGGCGCTGGCGGGTTTCATGTCAGCGACGGCGGATACGGGCAAGACAGCACAGGGGAAAGAGCCAGGGGGGACGCACGTCGTCGAGGCGCCTCTTGAGTTCGCCGACCATGTTCTCCTTGACGACGACGCGCTGGTCGTCGAGGTCCTCAATGATGAAGTCGTGGTTGGACGAGTCAATGTTGACAATGATTGATTTGATGGAGGGATCGCACTCGACGAGGACGCCTGTGCTGTTAGCGGTCTGTCTGTCTGGCTGGCTGGCTGGCTGGCTGGCTGGCTGGCTGGCTGGCTGGCTGGCTGGCTGGCTAGATTGCTCGCTGGATGGCTGGCGGGATGGCTCGCTGGATGGCTCGCTGGCGAGGCAGGGGATCGTGGGCATCGTACCTCGGATGGCGCGTGGCATGGTGATGGCTGCACTCGAGACGGGCTGCAGGCGACGATGGAGGTTGTCGCGCTCAATGGCCGGTGGTGGATGGATGCTGTGCAGATGCTGTGCCGATGCTGGTACTTTCTGTGAGGTGCTTGTGGTTGCAGTTGCAGAGGCAGAGGCAAAAGGGCTAGACCTGGGTACCTAGGTAGGTAGGTACGTGGTAGGTAGCGAGTACGTACCGCGTAGGTACGTACTAGTGGAGCACACACTGCCGAGACGCTCGGCTTGGTGGGGAACCGGTGGGGCCGTGTGCGTGCCGTGCGACGCAACCTTGGCTCCGGCCTATCCGTCTGTTCTCTTCTGCTCGTCATGAGCAGACGATGCATCGTCTCGAGCAGACGTCTCGAGCAGACAATGGAACCGGGTCGGAGCACTGGCCTCGCAGGGCAGCCTTGGACTTGTGTTCCCGCTGTTGTAGGCAGGTGACCAAACATCTTCATGCACGCATCAAGCGAGCTGTGTGCTGTGCGGCCATGTGCTGTCTCGTACTCTATGGAATTACTACTGAAGCGAAGGTACCTTGCCCAAGACGGTCATCGATAAGAGAAATGCGTTCCCCACCCCCCTCTCTCTCTCTCCCCCTCCACCAAAACACCAGCTCGGCCAACAACGCGATACCCATCTTCATGACGTTACCGCTGAACTCGCGGCGCTAGTGAAAAAGCGCACATGCTCGCTTGGCCGTCGAGAACGAATAACGCATCACGCCCAGCCAGCCCCGAACCCCGACCGCTCGCTTCTGGCCTTTCCCACTCACTACTGCTCTAAAGCCCCGAGAGTGAGAGAGGGGGTTGCGTCTACCAAGACGTCGTCAGCAGGACGCTTGCGCCCTCGCTTGTTCTCGTTTGCCCATGTTTCCCTTCGTCCTGCCCCCGTCCGTCCCGCCCGTCGTCCTGCCCCCGCACGCACTGCCCGCCGGGCACCCGCGCTTGTTGCTCTTCAAAACTGGCCGACGCTGCCCTGCGCTGCCTGCGATCCCCATCTCGCCCACTCCTCCTCATCTTCCTCGGACGTCTCTTCACCCGTCGGCCAGGCCCGCCGCGTGCTTCACTGCCTCCTCAAAACACAAGCACAGACAAGGTACGCAGCACAGCCCGCTAGCAGCCCCGTCACTGGGCGCCGCCGTTCGGTAGCATCATCACTCGAGCCTGATTCGCCACGTTGTCGCCATCCTTCCACCCCCCGGCAGTCCACGCGGGGGACCACACGACCCCCTTTCGCCGAGCCCGGACGAGCTGAGCCACGCGTGGATGACGTGAAGGACAAACCGGGACAAACAGAACGAGTTCGCCCGCTCTGCACTGCCTAACCTAACCATCTTATCATACACTTTGGGCAGTGTTCCGCCGCCTTCCGAACAAAAAAACTTCTTTTTTTCCATCATTCCAAATCAAAGAAAAAGGCCTCGTTTGCTTTCCGACCTTTGCTAGGCAAGCCCCAAGTTATATCTTGTCACCAACACTCCATCCCAGGGACGCACATCCCAGAGACGCACATCCCAGAGACGCCACCACAACAACACCACACCACGCACGGGCGATCATCCCCAACGACCACCACAATGTCCCAACCCTCACAATCCTCCACCCTCCCCACAACCTCGGCCTCGGCCTCCCCAACCCCCACGGCGACCGGCGACCCAGACTCCTTCTTCAACTTCTCCGCCCCCGTCTCGTGGATCTTCATCCCCATCCTGCTCCTCGCCCTCGTCGCCGCCTCCCTCGCCTGCTTCACCCTCCGCCGTCGCCGCCGCCGCCGCCGCCACGGCACCCTTGGCAACGACCCCGAGACCAACAACCCCGCCGCCGCCGCCCTCGCCCGCGCCCGCGCCCGCGGCCGCCGCACCCGCCCCTGGGGCCCCACCCGCAGCAGCGAAGGCCTCAACGAGCTCGGCGAGGCCCCGCCCGCCTACGAGCCCAAGGCCCGGCCCGGCCAGTCCCTCACCCGCTCGACGACCGACGACGACCATCACGACGACGACGGCGGCGACGACGACTGTGGTCGCGGCGCCGTCGAGCTGCGCCACCTCGAGCGTGCTGGCGGTGCGTCCTCGCCGACGCAGCCCCGTCCCGTGGCCTCGCTGCACGCCGCTGGCGCTACGACTACGGCTGCTGCCACACCGACGACGACGACGACGACGACGACGACAGACCCCAACCTGCCGCCGCCCGACTATGATGCCGTGCAGGCTTCTGGTGGCGCCGCGGGCCCTCCGCCTCTGATTACGACGCCACTGCCTGCTGTGACGAGGCACTGAAGGAACCGTCTGTTTTTTCTCTGTTTTTTTTTTCTTTTCTTCTCTCTCCATCTGGGAAAGGGTGACGACATGATCTGAAGTCCTGCCTACCATGTGTAGTCTGGATACGGGCGTTCACGGATAGCGATGGCTTTTGATACCAGGTGTTCGACAGACAAAGGGGGGGTGTGGGTTTCATTTGTACGATGCTCATAACGGCAGTCACGGAGCGGAAGGCCACCGAGATGTAGATAGGACACGACGTATACCACACAATACCCACTCGATGGCAATCCAATGCGCAACAGGGGACGGCGAACCGCAAAAGACAGCCACATGCTTCTTATTGCACTCATCCTCCATATCTCTACACGTCTTTTTTCGTCTCCCCCGGTCACGATCCCTCAACCTCTTGTGCAATCCTTCCACTGTTGCAGCCATCAACGTCGGGGTTTCCCTTGCCTGGCAACCACTTGACTGCACGCATGGGCTTGAACCAACGCCGGCGCCATGTCCCCTTCAAGTCAAAACCAAAGGGGACAGCCACGAAAAAGAAAAACACAAAAAAAAACAGAAGACTATGCTAGAACACCCTCGGCTGGCAAGGAACGTGAGTGGGGTGGCACGTGGCCAAGCTCGCCCTACTTTCTCCCATCGCACCACCCGTCTATAAAAATGATCCATGATCGCGTGAGCACCCCAAAATCCTGGGCCTCAATCGGCCAGAGAGGCAAGAGAGAAGAAGAGTACAGCCCCACGGCACGACAAATGGCAAGAGGAAGCATTACAATGCATTAAAAACCCCGGACCATCCCGTCCGCTTCACCTACGTATCACGCACCCTTCGTGTCCTCCAGCGTTTGCGCAAGCTTGACTGCGAGCTCTGGCGTCTTGACTTGCACCATCCACGTCTCCAGACCATCTCCCGTCTCATTCGATGTCATCAGCTTCACGTACTTGGTCTGCCCCTTGTAGGTCTCGCTCGGCAGCAGGCTGCGGTTGAAGACGACGTGCCCCCGCGGTTCGGCACGCAGAAGCATGCGCACGGCGCCCGTCGTCTTGTGCTTGAGGAGGCGGAACGGGCCCACCCCCTTGGTCGACCAGGGGCTCTTGTTCTTGGCGGCGCCCTCGTCATCGCTTTCCGCCTGCCCGGGAGGCACGAACTTCATAATCTTGGCCCTGATCTCGTACACGACAGTCTCGTCCTCCTCGCCGGGGCCGCCCTCCGTCAGGGTGATTTGCTCGTGTGGCTTCTCAGAATCGTCGCCCTCGGCGCCAGGCGCTCCCTGGCTTGCTTCGGGGCCGGTTGCTGATGTCTTTTCTCGGTCAGCGGTCGGCTCGGGGGTTCCGGAGGCTGGCGTCGTGGCTAGGCTCGACGCGCCGCCAAAATTGAAGGGTGAATTGGTACCTGTAGTAGACGCACCCGCGCCGGGGGGCTGCAGGTTACCAAACACGGAGCCGCCGGGCTGGGTGGGCTTGGGCGCAAACATGTTGTCGGCCTGGTTCGGGGGCTGAGGGGATGCTGAAGTGAAGTTGAGCGACGGCGTGGACGCGCCGTTGCCGCCAAAGTTGAACATGCCCGCGTTGGTGGTCGCGGATGCGGGCTGTGCGGGCTGCGAGGCGCCGAATTGGAAGGGCGAGTTGGCCGATGCGACGGCAGGCGATGTGCCGCCGGCGCCAAACTGGAAGGGCGAAGCGTTCCCGGACGTGGGGGCTGCCGGGGCTGAGGATCCTGCGCCAAAGTTGAACATGCCACCGGATGGGGCAGGCGACGGCGCCGCCGCCGCTGCCGCCCCGTTGCTGCCGAAGCTGAACGGGTTGTTGAAAGATGCCGCGCCGCTGTCGCCACCGCTGCCGAATGTGAAGGAAGAGTTTGCGGACGCTTGTCCTTGAGGCTGGGACGCGGCCCCGAACAGGTTGCCCGCAGGAGCGCTCGACGCGCCGCCAAAGCTGAACGGCGTCGTCGACGACGGCTCGGCGGAGGCGCCACCAAAGGCCTTCTTGGCCGGCGGCTCACCCGACTTGTCGTCCTGCTTCATCGGGCTGCCGCCGAACATGGGAGTGCTGGAGGCGGCAGGTGGTGAGAGGGTCTTGGAGGCGGCGCCGAAGAGGTTGTTCGTCTGGGAGGGCGCGGCGTCACCCGCGCTAGCAGCACCGAAGGTGAAGGGTTTGGCGGTGCCGGCGCCGGCGCCAAAGCTGGGAGGAGGCGTGGGTGTCGTGGGCTTGCTGAAGAGGCTGGAGGCGCCGTTGCTTCCGGCATCGCTGCCCGTCGACGGTTTCGCACCGAAGAGGCTCGAGGCGTTGGCATTCGTTTGCGACGACGATCCGAAGAGGCTCGACGCGTTCGCAGTCGGCTGAGACGACGAACCGAAGAGCGTCGAGGGCGCCGAACCGGCGGCGGACCCGAAAAGGTTGGACTTGGGCGGCTCGGCCGCAGGTGTCGCGTTGGAACCGGCAGGCTTGCTGGATCCTCCAAACAGAGTGGACGACTCCAAGACCGAGTCCTTTGGCTTGTCCTGCGTGCCAAACAGGCTGGACGCCGGGGGCGTGGAGGCCTTGGTCTCGTCGGCCTTGGGGGCACCAAAGGTGAAGGTAGGTGTCGCAGTCTTGGTGGCTGACTCGACGCTGGGCTTTGGCTGGAACAGGGACGAAGCGCTGGCAGGTTCGGCTGGCTTGGGAGCGAACCCGCCAAAGATTGGCTTGGGTGCAGGCTGGGCGTCGTTCTCCTTGTCGGACTCGCCCGACTTGTCTGGTTCCGCTGACGCAGACTTGGCCGGGGCCGGCTGATCCTTGGCCGGGGCGTCCTGCTGCTTTGGCGCTCCAAACAGGCTGGAGGCGGGAGACGGGGTCGACTTGGCCGCGCCGAAGAGCGAGCTTCCGTTGGTGGTCGAGCTACCAAAGATGTGGCCCGCGGCGCCAGCCGGGGCAGCAGCACCAGCCGGGGCAGCGGCACCAAACTTGATCGGCGTGTCGGGCGTCCAGGTGGCATTGACTGGTGCAGCAGGAGCTTCCTTGACCGGGCTGGCAGCCCTGGCCTCGGTTGCGGCGCTGGAGGGCTCGATGCTCTTGCTTGTCTCGACAGAGCCCGCGCGCACAGGTTCCCCGGTCTGGTCCTTGGTGACGCGATCGAACAGGCTTCGCCCCGGCGTGGATTCCCTAGACGCGGCGGCCGAGGGCGCGCTCGGGAAGAGAGACTTTTGCGGCGCAAAGAGGCTGCTCGCCGGTTGCGACGACGGCGTGTCGGCCCCGCCGCTGGCGACGACGCTGGGCTCGTCGCTCTGGCGACCGGTATCCTGCGTGTCGGCCTCGTCCTCTTCCGAGTCTGACTCGCTTTCAGCGTCAGCATCCACTCCACTATTCTTCGCGCTCGTGTCGGAGAGGTATCCAAAGATGTTCCCCGGGCCTTCGGATTGTTTCAGATTCTCAAAGACGGAACGAGCCGCAGCAACGTCGGCGGGCTTGGAGACGGGAGCAAAGGGGTTCGGCATTGGTGCCGAAGCGGGTGCGGATGACTGCGTCGTACCTTGAGGGGGTGTCGAGCTCGTCGATGGCTTGTTGTTGAAAGCGCTCTCGAACATGGATCTCGTGGCGGAGGGCGTTGACGACTTCTGCTGCTTGGAAGGCTGGCTTTCCTCGGCCTCGTTGCTGACAGAAGCCTTCCTCTTGTTGTTGCTCGGGGCAGGCGTGGCCGAGGGAGCCTCATTCTTGTCGAAGGCGCGCTTCTTGTTCGCCGAGAGCGGTGCCGCGGACGAAGATGCGTCGGCCGACCTCAAGTCATCGTCGGCCTTGCGCTTCGAGGCGCCCGACTTGGCGCCATTCTGCTTGACCGGCGTGGAAGCGCCTTCCTCTTCGTCGGGCAGGCCGTGCGCAGCCCGCCATTTTCGGAGAACGTCACCCGAGGGCTTGACGTTTTTGAATTCGTAGAGACCATACCGCAGCATGATCAGGCTCCTGCTCTTCTCAAACTCCTTGGCAAAGTTCATAATGTTCAGCTTCCAGTCCTTCTTCGCAAACACCTCATTTGCCGAATGCTTCAGACGGCGCAGATCGAGAATGCAGAAGAGCTGACGGCGCTGCAGGTCGTCATACTCGCGAGGAACGTATTCCTGGAGAAACTGATCGGCGTAGACGGTGCCCTTCGAGTCGAGATGCGAGGGCACCTTCTTGGCGAGAGCCTCGCCCGAGAGCTCAGGCGGAGGGGAGGGGATGCGCATGGTGAAGAGCTCTGCCGACGCGGACTTGGCCATCATGCCGCGCGGTGTCGCCTGCGCTGTCACGTCCCGGTAGACCTTTTGAGAGACGGGGGTACCGCCAGGCGCGAAGACCTTGGTCCTCGTGTCGGCTGGCAGCTTGGGAGCAAAGGGCGTCGTGGAGGAGTTGTTGCTGATGGAGGAGGATCGGAAAATGTTGCGCGAGGCCGAGACGGATGAAGAGTGGCTGTCGAAGGTGCCCGTCGACGGCTCATCGCGGTGGAGGGTCTTGCGCGACGGCGCAGTCTGGGGGGTGGACAGGCGCTTGTTGGGATTGAGAGGTGACGCCTGGTAGACGCGGTTCGTGGCAAACTTGAGGCCCGGGCGGCTACGCGGCGTAGCGTTGTGATCCATGATGAAGGATGGGACCTGCCTGCTGGAGGTGTGAGGAGGAGAGAAGGGGATGGAGGGAGGCAGAGAAGGGTGACAAAGGAGGCGTGCGTTGACGGGCGAGTTGTGTGGGATCGTCGAGTACGAAGGAAGGACCGAGATCGGGATCGGAATCAAGATCGGAATCAAGATCGGGTCGCGTCAAGAGTGGCGCTCCGCCTTGGGTACACACGCGGACGGAAGAAAAGGGTGATGCGCGGTCGTCGTGATGGAAAGGGTAGGGAAGTAGGTAGTAGGAAGGAACAAGAAGAGTCGACACGGTGCAGGAAACGCGTGTATCACCGAGAAAGGGTGGTGGAGAGAAGAGTAAACATCCAAAACTCGGCAGCGATACGTGTGTTCAGAAGGCCATCGATGGAAAGAAGGGGGAGAGGAACGGAACCCTTTGACGAGGCTTCGAAGAAGACCGGGTGTCGTCGCGAGATGGGCTTTCGTTGAAGAGGTCCCTTAGGGGCGTGGAATCGGGGACGGCGACGTGGGCTCAGGTTTTGGAGGAAGGTGGTTTTTTTGGCGCCAGTGGTCCAGGCTGACTGTGAATCGAGCGTGCTTGGTTGGACCTCCCTTGGGCCTTGGACTGGGTGAAAGGGAAAAAAAAAAGCAGGGGGGGGCGGGCAACTGCTTGTGGGTCTGGGAAGCTCCTGCTTCCTACTTTATTACATGGCACTGGGCATCCGTTCTTGCCTGCCATCATCCAACCAAAGCTCTTGCCCAGTCTACTGCCGCCTGAGGCAGCATCGCTTGATTTCGGCAGGGCCCGATTCGGCAGGGCCCATACAGCGGTCAATCATTAATCCGTCAAGTTCTGTGAAACAGGCGGCAACGGTCTGGGCTCCATGACAGCGGTCGCCAGCTGCCGCAAGCGTCGTGATGCAGGCAAGGTGCCTGAGTCCTCCGACATGCTTTGGGACCTGCATCGCATCACGCCCACGCGGCGCCTCTGCACCGAGGTCTCCCTACATAGAATGGGTGAGGCAGAGAATGAGCCACATGTCGTCACGCCCATGTCGCCCGCCAGCGCCAGGCGACGTACACGACCAAGGCATCACCAGGTGATCAACACTTATCTTGTCATTCCAGCTTCAGACTATACGTCGCACATGCTTTCGTGCGTCTGCAACGGCACCGGCCCGCCATCCCCACGGCCTCTTCAGGGAACAACAAGACCACGGTAGTGTACATGGGAAGGGTATCCCGCCGAGAGCACGGCGATCCCAAGCGCAACTCCAGGTCCCCCGGCACGCGGCGCGCGCGTGCCCCACTCTCTCTCTCTCTCTCTCTCTCTCTCTGTCTCTCTCTGTCTCTCTCTCCTCGCTTCGCCTGCCGTCTCGACATGTTCCTCTCCCGCCTGGTCGCCGCCCCGGCCGGACAACATATGATCAAGCATTTACAGCTTGGACTTGGTCTGGGCCTTCTTGAGGATGGGCTCCATCTTGGTGGCCTTCATGACGTCGCCCTTGATCTTGAGCTTGCCGGACATGAAGAGCTTCTGGGCATTGGCCTTGCCGGCGACGAGCGAGGCAAAGTCGGTGTCGGACAGGGACAGCGTGACGGTGGGCTTGGAAGGCAGGCCCTTTTGCACGGTGCCCGTCTCCTTGAGGTCAATGTGCCAGCTGTCCGTCTCGCCGGCCGAGTTCTTGAGGGTGAAGGCGAAGACGGCGTTGCCCTGCTTGATGGCGTCCTTGCGGTCGGCCTCGCTGCTGAGGGCCGAGTTGATGGCGTCAAAGGCGGCCGAGGAGGGGAACTTGGCTGCGAAGGGGGGGGCGAATGCGCGTTAGCGGCGGTTGATCTGGCGGAGGACGAATGCGGTTGCCCTTGGGCCATGGTGGAGGGAACAAGCTTTCAAGAACCCGGACGAACCGGACTCTGGAGAGGGGGGGGGGGGGGGAGGCTGGTGTGCTTACCGTTGGCGAGAGACATGTCTGCGGTGGTTGGAACTGGTAGATTGGTCTGTGGGTTTTGCTAAGAATCGGTGGGGAGTCAAGCAGAGCAGAGTAAAAAAGGAAGCAAGCAGAGTCTGGGGAAATGCGGAGGACAGATGTTATAATGAGGGTTGATACGGCAGCCAGAGTCGAATGCAACAACAGGTGGTGACGATTCCTGTCGCATGTGAACCTCGGTCCCCCGTCAGCACGGGCTCGCGGCTCCCCATTGGACACGGCCGTGAGCACGAGCGAGCGGAAGGAGCACAAGGAAGCAAAGAAGTGGCAGTGCACGGACCACTGGCCACCATTTTGCGGGATCCCCGCATCCGCCGCGTCAAGTCACGTGCTTCATACGGTCACGTGTTGATCTCCTAGACATGTGAAGGCCGAGCCAGAGTGGATGCGTCCGAGCTGTCTGTGCCTCTGTCGATGCATCCATCAGCTAGCTTTCCCGAGTCAGCAATCTCACACACGGGTCGGACTACACCAAGTCGGCATTGACTACCGAGAAATGTCCAGTGTCTTGATCCAGCTCAGCGAGGTCCGGCTTTGCATAGAGACGTTTCGCAGCAAAACCGGGTCAATACCATCTCGGACCATGACCGATGCCAGATGACAAGAAAGGCGTCACCTCCAAAATACACGGGACAGGCCCGTTGGAGTACAACGGCCACAGACCCCCCAAGGAACCCCAAGTTGGAGTCTTACAAGGCGCAACCCCACCGGTGCACCCTCCCTGCCGACGTCGGCCAGCGTCGGAACCCCCTCCACCACACAGTCACTACTCCAACTCGTCACTGTCGCTCTCACCACCTGATATATCACGCCTCACGTACCCTTCCTCCACGCCATACACTAGTTCCATTTCCCATAGTATACCAAAGAAAAACATCATGAGAACGGCCCTCCGAACGTTGACAGCATTGACAAGATCGTATCAAAATCCGGCCCAAAACTTGCTCAGCACGCCGCGACTAGGCAGCCTCCTCAGCACCAGGCTTAGCAGCACCACCAATACATCAAAAATGGCCTCGTCGATCCTCAAGAAGCCCGTCAAGCTGGCGTGCGTGCAAATCGCCGCGGGCGCTGACAAGCAGGCGAACCTCGACCTCGCCGCCTCGCGCGTGCGGGCCGCCGCCGCCGATGGCGCCAAGATCATCGTGCTTCCCGAGTGCTTCAACTCGCTCTACGGCTGCGACTTTTTCCCGCGCTATGCCGAGGCGCTGCTGCCGTCGCCGCCGCCGAAGGAGCAGTCGCCCTCGTTTCATGCGCTCGCCGCCATGGCCGCCGAGACAAAGACCTACCTCGTCGGCGGTTCGATCCCAGAGCTCGTCGAGGAACAGGGGCCCGACGGCGTCGTCAAGCGGTACTACAACACGAGTCTGACGTTTGGCCCCGACGGCGGGCTGCTGGCGACGCATCGCAAGACGCACCTCTTCGACATTGACATTCCCGGCAAGATCACGTTCCGCGAGTCGGACGTGCTGAGTCCCGGCAACAAGGTGACAATTGTCGACCTGCCCGAGTACGGCAAGGTGGCCGTGGCCATCTGCTACGACGTGCGGTTCCCCGAGATGGCGACCGTCGCGGCGCGCCGGGGGTGCTTCGCCCTCGTGTACCCGGGTGCCTTTAACCTGACGACGGGGCCGATGCACTGGAAGCTGCTGGCGCAGGGCCGGGCGCTCGACAACCAGATCTACGTCGCCATGTGCAGCCCCGCGCGGGACCCGGACGGGCCATACCAGGCGTGGGGTCACAGCATGATCGTCGACCCGCTGGCCCAGGTCGTGGCCGAGACGGACGAGAAGGAGTCGACGGTCGTGTGGGAGCTTGACGGCGCCAAGATTGAGGAGGTGCGGAAGAACATTCCCTTGACGACACAGAGGCGGTTCGATGTGTACCCCGACGTGAGCAAGGGCGACGTCAAGTACGAAGAGCCAGGGCAGCCGGGATCGTAAGCTGGGAGAAAGCGTATCGCGCGGCTCCCGTCGTGAATTCATCACATCGTTTCCACATCATCGCTTCCTGCAGTCCGTCACAGTGGTTGAATATGCACCCGACAGTCATGACGGTGGCGGCGGCATCCGGTGACTCTGCTCCGGATCCGGCTTCTCTCGGATGGGCCCGGGCCCCGCTTCTTCGGTTGTGGTTTTGCTTCGCCTTGCCATCCCCTCGTCTTTGTTTCGTCCTGCCTTTGCCTTGTTTCCTTGCGCCTGGTGATGTACATGTATCCCGACCCAAAGCACTGCTCGCAGTAGACCAATGTTGCTGAACAGCCTGCCTTCTCGCTCATGCTGTCAAGCAGAACCGCGTCGGCCCAAGTCTCGGCAGACGGCAAAACGGGTCCAGCAAAGGGCGCACAGTTGCTTACTGATCGGGCGTCCTGTTCTTCATCAGCCGATTGCCGTGCCGTGATTGCTAAGCAAAGAGAGAGAGAGAGAGAGAGAGAGACAGAGAGATAGAGCAGCAGAAAAATCCCCATCTCTTCGACGCCTTTTCTCTGACCCCACCTGCCGCTTGCTGCTCACCCCACGTTCGGAGCTCTGTCTCTCTGCGGGAACCTACCTGACTGGCTTTGCCTTACCCTGAAAGTAACTCAAGGCTACCAAGTCATTATTGAGCCACTGGGCCCACGGCCGGAAGCAGAAATCTTCAATCCCATCTCCGCAACCCAGACAAACAACGCTCCCCATCAACCTTTTGCCTGGCAACTTTCCCCCACGAGACCATCGTCGTGCAACCAGTGCAGAGACCTGCTCGTGTCATTGATC